TACCTTCGCTTCGGCTAATAAATTTAACTTTACGATGTGACCTCAATTTGACTCGGCTTTTCCAATCGCGACGTGTAATAATTTTTTGGTGAATAATTTTGTCCACGATACCACTAAGTCCGGCAATAATCCAATTTTCGATTAAACTACTTATCTAATGTCAAATCCTTTTATTTAAGGCTACGTTCTATGATGAGGATTCAATTTTCAATTATTACAATTTTTCTGTTTACAATCAATTCCCTAGTGAGAACTCGTTCAAATTTTGCTGTGTCCACTACATTTCAAATCAGACTTTCATCAAAGTTCTGATTGAATACATTGATGTGTGCATGGCTCTATCGAATGTAATTATACAGTCTCTTCAATTCTGAATTCAATCTTCATTGCAAAGCCCACTTACTTATTCTCGCTATTAATACACGATCTATTTGGCTGTAGATAATGAAATGTTTTAAACACACTGAAAATAACTTTTTGTTTTTTGTGTTATTGTTACCGTTTGCATTCATGACATGTGTATTACGTATAACCTTGATATTAAAGGACATGATGCTAAAATTGCTTAAATTGAACTTCGTTCAATTATCATTACATCAAGCAACTTCAGTTTGTTTTGTTAATAACATGTTTTTCTTTTTTGTTTAAAATATAAATTGAATAAAATTAAAATAGATTATTCGTTTTTATTTCATTTAAAAATAAGCCGAGATAGCTAATTTTCCGTTCGCTCACATTTACTTCAATATACTCGAGCAACCTGAGTTCGACCCCCGGTGCCGGCACCGACGAAATTATTAATTTTAAGTGCTGACTTATCACGTGCTCAGCGGTGAAGGAAAATATCACAAGGAAACCTTCATGTTTCCGAAATAATAACAAAACAATATTTCGATATAAAGATCCGAAAGTCCGCAGTGGGCTCGCGTGGTGGAATATGCCCTAATACCCTCTGTACAGAGGAGGCCTTTGCCCAGAATTGGGAAATAGGCTGTTACTTTATTTTTTTATATAAAATTTATTTTGTTACACTTTTTGTGAATGAAAAAGAACTCAACGATAAGACTGCTTTAATAATCACTTGTAATGAATAAAATTTATTCGCCTCCATAACCATTCAAATGTTTCTAAAATACATGAAGGCACATCATGAGTCGAGGGCCGTCAACCAGATGTTGTTATAAAATACGTTCTGAATATTATAATATGTTTTTCAACACCAAAATGTGCATATATGAGAAGAAATTTATTATCCGTATCGATTAAGGTCCTTCAAGAACAGAAGATAATTATTTCAATGAAATTGCGTGCTGTTGCCCAATTATGGGATAATAATTACTCGAATCTCGAATTAAATACTTTTGTTTACCAACCTTATTAATGTTTTCAATTAGTATTTTAATTACACATATAAATAAATGGTCTCTTTTATAAAGGCGTGTTATTATTATTGTGCAAACAAATTTGAACTATTTTGGTACATCTTAAAATCGGCTAGACAGATATCATCTGGTTAGTGGTCGTTTGGTGCTTTGTTGCATTGAATATCTGCACAAATATAATATTGGAGCCTGGATTCTCCTTCAGGTTCTCTCTCTTAAATACGGCTGGTCTTGCGGATTGGAGAATGTTTACATATAAAAGCAAGGCTCTACTAGGACCGTCCCATCATCATGGATAGGACGATTCTTGCGAATGAATCGGATATTTTATTCATGAACCGGGCACAGTTGAAGGCAATTTTGTTCTACATTACAATTCCAAACGACGAGAATATTGAGACAGCTGGAACAGAAAACTAAGTATCTGGACCTGTTTCACTAGTATGCGAATCCAAAGTGGGGGTGAATTTTGTGCCGATCCCATCTAAGTGGCGTATGTACAGGAGGATGACGCACGAACTGTAGACATACTAACCGCAATAATTACCCAACTTACAGCCTTCACAGTAAGCCGAGCTTAACTATATTAAAGAATTAAAAATTAACAAGTCTTCAATTATCTAACTATAAATCGTCACGTGAAATTAATGTATGTAAAGCGTATCCTACAGTAATGTTTTTTTTTTTTTTAAAGAAAGAAATCATTTGTACTCATAATATCATTAGTAACCAAACATTTGTATATTCATAAGGTATTTTTTCTTATTTTATTCAGCTGTAATTGTCTGTCTGTGTCATTTTTAATTTTTTGAATAATGTCAATATTATAAACAGAATTATCTAATTAAAATTCACATTAATATAATTGTTAATGTTGCCGAATTATCTGCGAACACAGTCGATGTAACTGAAAGAGTCCAATGAAGCAAATACTGTCAGCAGTGCAAGCCGGGAAACGAATATCCAAATCCTTGCATAACAAAAAGTAGCGTACGGGGCTTATACGACGGCCTTTGTGCTTATAGACTGCCTTTGTATTAAAAGTTCTCTAAAAGTGAAATAATGTTCGGAGCATGTTGCTTCAGCTTTTGTACGGAGATTTATTCGAGAGTAATTTTTAACGTTATATAAGGAGTATAAAAGAAGATAACTCTACTAAAATAATAATTTGAATAGAAGTCTCTTCAGAGTCTCGGTGAATAAAGAAAGTAATAAAAGTAACAACCTATACATGTCCCACTGCTGGGCAAAGGCCTCCTCTATACAGAGGGTATCAAGGCATAGTCCACCACGCGGCCCCACTGCGGATTGGCGGACTTCACATATCTTCGAAATATATATTTTTTTTGTTATTATTTCGAAAATATGCAGGTTTCCTCACGATGTTTTCCTTCACCGCGGAGCACGTGATAAGTCAGCACTTAAAGTTAAAAACTTCATTGGTGCCGGCACCGGGGATCGAACTCAATTCAATTCAATTCAATTATTTATTTGCCATCTAAGTTTACATTATATAAATAGGTGTTAGATTTATACAGAAACTTAGATGCCTTTTCCAGGCACTGCAAAATTTTTAATGGACACTGCTCATTTAATTAAGTTAATGAATATAGAAAATGAACACAAAATGAATATAATAAAAAAAAAAAAGAAACAAAGAAAGAAAAATGTTGCGAAACAAACAATATGGTTAGATTTAAAAATATGTAAAAAAAATCAGCTAATTCAAATTAAAACTAAATTATACATAACGATCAAAAGCAATTCGTTCATGCATGTATGTGTGTGTGTGTGTGTGTGTGTGTGTGTGTGTGTGTGTGTGTGTGTGTGTGCGTGTGCGTGTGCGTGTGCGTGTGCGTGTGCGTGTGCGTGTGCGTGTGCGTGTGCGTGTGCGTGTGCGTGTGCGTGTGCGTGTGCGCGTGCGCGTGCGCGTGCGCGTGCGTGCGTGCGTGCGTGCGTGCGTGCGTGCGTGTGCGCGTGCGCGTGCGCGTGCGCGTGCGTGCGTGCGTGCGTGCGTGCGTGCGTGCGTGCGTGCGTGCGTGCGTGCGTGCGTGCGTGCGTGCGTGTGTGTGTGTGTGTCACCATAGGGGCACAAATAGATTTTAGGTAAAATGCTAGTCAACATATAAACATTTATTAAGGGGGGTAATGATTTTCTATCCTCATTGCTCTAAATATTCTTTTACTGAATAAAACGGGTTTTGTTCTAAATAACATTTCAGTTTGGATGTAAACTTAGGCAATTCTGTTATATTCTTTATTTCATCTGGTAGTTTATTATGTATTTTAATTGCCATGTAGTATGGGCTATTGTTTAACATTTTTAATCGAGAATGTGGTAAATATAATTTATTTTTATAACGTGCGTTAATGTTATGAGTATCTTTGATTTTTTTAAAGAAATGACTATTTTTGAATACAAAAAGACACAAATCTTTTATGTATAAGCATGGTAAAGTTAATATTTTAAGTTTTGTGAAATAAGGTCTACAGCTAGAATTGTTATCTATGTGTGCAAGTATCCTTATGCACTTTTTTTGGATGATAAATAGGTCCTGAGCGTCAACACTGTTGCCCCATAACATTACGCCATACATAAGCCATGAGTGGGCGTAGGCATAGTAAGCTGATAACGCGGTGGAAGTATCTGTAGAGCATTTAATTTGGAAGAGAGCATAGGTGAATTTGCATAATTTACTTTTTAAATAATCAATATGTGTTTTCCAATTTATATTTGAATCGATATTTAAACCAAGCAAATTAAATGAATCTACTTTTTCCAACTTTGTACCATTAAAATTTATACTGACATTTAATGATGGACTTTTATATGTTTTAAATTGCATAATTTTAGTTTTCTCATAATTTATCTCTAGGTTATGGTCTCCAAGCCAATTAGTAATAGTTTGTAAAGTGTTGTATGTAACAGAGTTATAGTCGGTATTATTTTCGCCTTTTATTAAAACAGATACATCGTCAGCGAACACAATAGTCAAGGTATTCTCATTATTTATTACTTTTGGTAGGTCGTTAATGTAGATCAAAATAACAAACACCCTAAGACCGAACCCTGGGGAATAGAGCATGTAAGTTGTTGAATCTGGGATCGCACGGAAATAATTTCATTCTTTTCGTTATTTTTATGTTCAAGTTGGACTAATTGTTTTCTGTCTGAGAGGTATGACTGAAACCATTTATATGCCGGACCGCGAATTCCTGAGCCATGAAGTTTAGCTAGTAATATGTAATATTTGACTTTTTCGTATGCTTTTGTCATATCTAATAGGAGACCTAAGGTATACTTCCCATTATTTATGTTTTGAAGTGCTGTTTGTATGTATTTATATACAGCATGGGTTGTAGATCTGTTTTTTCTAAAGCCATTTTGAGATTCATCAAAAATTTTGTATTTTTCTAAGAAGTGGTATAGTCTATTATACATGGCCTTTTCAAATACTTTTGCAAATGTTGGAAGCAAAGCTATGGGTCCATAATTAATAAGTAGATGTGGATCGTTTTTTTTAAATATTGGTTTAATTAGGGAGATTTTTAACATATCTGGGAGAAGACAATACTCAAAACTTTGGTTTATAAGTGAGGCTAAGGGGGGGGGCTAGCATGTCCGCGCATTGTTTTACTAGGATGGCAGGTATGTCATCGATACCACAACTATGTTTGTTTTTTAAGTTTTTTATTATTTGTATAATTTCCTTTGGATTTGTTGGGGTCAAATAGAATGAATTTGGTGGAGAGTCTATCACTGGCCTTCCATTTGTTATGTTATTGGCACTATCACAGTTACCTATAGTAGCAAAGTATTCATTGAATGTATTACTTACGGTCTGAGGGCACGATAGCACTTTGTTTTTTACTTTTAGTGTTATATTTTGTACTGAACTTTTTTTATTTTTCCCAGTTTTACTGTTAATAATTTTCCACATAGTTTTAGTTTTATTATCAGATTTTTTCATTTGTTTAATATATTCAAATTTTTTTGATACCCGTATACACGTTTTTAGAATTCTACTGTAAGTTTTAAAATGAGCTCTTAGGATTTCATTATTGGTTTTATTTAACAATGTTTTAAGTAATCGTTTATGTGTACATGATTTTTTTATTCCTGTAGGGAGCCAAGTTTTCATAGTATTAAAGGTTTTTATTTTTATTTTTTTTATAGGTATATTTGTGTTTAATATTTGTGTAATACAAGTTACAAATTCGGACTAATTTTGGTTTATTCCCCGACTTTCTTTTATTATATCACTCCATTTAATTTTATTTAATGACTCTTTAAGCTTTATTATATTGGCAGAATTAAATAATCTTTTTTCTTTAAAATATGTGATATTTTGTTTCATTGGTGTATTACTTTTATTTAGCTCCACATTTATTGCTTTGTGGTCTGAAATTCCATAGTCGTATACATATGATTTTTTTACAAATGATGGATAGTTTGTAAATAGCAAGTCAATGCAAGTAGAGGTATTTTTTACAACTCTGGTTGGCTCTGTGATTAGTTGCCTAAGATTATGTCAATTCATAAAATTAAAAAGTAAGTTTATTTTTGTTTAAAATATTTATATTAAAATCACCTGCGATAATAATATATTTGTGCGGTTCTTTTTTATTAAGTTTGTTTAAAAGTAAATCAAATTTCTCATAGAAAACGTGAGAGTGGCGGTCGGCCCTATATATTCCTATTATTATACATTTTAGTTTTGGAATTTCTAATGCACAGAGTTCAACAATATATTCTATAGAGTAATTAACAATATCATTTCTTTCTATGTAATCTAAATTATTATTTACAATTAGGCAAACACCGCCCCCTTGTCGGCTTTTCCTGCAAAAGTAGGAGGCAATATTATATCCTGGTAATGTTAAGGCCTTAATGTAGTGTTCATTTTTCCATAATTCCGATAATGATAGTATATCAATATTTGTTTCTAATAGTAATTGTTCAAGTAAATCTATTTTGTTACCAATGCTTTGAATGTTTTGAAACATTAATGTTAGTTTATTCTCGAAATGACTTCATTTGATTATCCTTTGACTTGTTTTTATCTACTACGTTATCTGCTTGAGGTGATTTTTGTATACACAAATGATGTGTCTTGGAAGAGTTATCATATTCTGCATGAGTACTTGTAAGGGTTGAAGGGTTTGGTTTTGTGGTTTCTAGTAGAATTGTGTTCAAATATGGTTTTCCGTTTACGTATAGTTTATTGTTTTTTATATAAGCATTTTCACCATTTTTCTTTGCATTCTGCATGTTTCTGATGAGCTCGTTTCTTTCTTCTAGAGATTTGCCAAACATAAATTTTCCTATGGACAATCCAGTATTTTTAAACCTAATGGCATTGTTTAGAATGTAATCTGTCATTCTTTTATTGGTTAACTCTATTGACAAAGGCCGGCGGTTACCCTGTTTTCCTAGGCGCTTAATATCTTCCAGATAAGGGTTAATATTCATATTCATTATTTCATGAAATATTTGAGAAACACGGGTGAAAAGGTTATTCTCACCATCGTGACGCCCTTCTATTAGGCCGTATAATACAATTTTTTTGGAATTTTTTAAGGTATGATGTTCTGTTTCGAGTAAAGTAATTTTTTTATTAAGACAAGTTATTTCTTCTTGGTATTGTTTTTGGTTTCTGTAATTCTGCTATCTACGTAATTTTTGATTTCGCCTCTAAATTCTTTTGAGTAGTTATTAATTTCGGCATGAATTATGTTTCTTACATCTGAAAGTATAGATGTTTTCATGTTTCTTGTATATTTTTAATAAAATGAAACTGTTTGCTTCTATATATTTTCACAATGTATCACTGTATATCACTAACACTGGAATCTTGAATGGTTTTTATAATATTTTTATAAATTTTCCTTTCACTGAATTTCGACTGTTTTAATTTTAATCTTCAACATTAGCACTAGATAACATTTGCACACGTTGAATAGACCAGTTACTGTGTTTTAAACTTAAAATCAGTCTTGAATAATAACTTTTTATATTTTTATGAGACAAAATTACGGAGCTTATTGTTTACGTTGAGAGCAGTGCCACTGCACCTTATCAAACCCCAGGTTGCTCGAGTATATTGAATTAAAGGCGAGCGCCCGGACACTGAGCTATCACCGCTCTGTAGAGTAATAATAATAGAAAGTAATAAATAAGATAAATAATAAGATAGATAATAAAATTTTGTGACCCTACACCTTGGTTTTAATATATAATTAATTAAAAATCACTAGGCTATCATAATATATTTATTGAAAAAAAAGAAAAGATTCTAATTTATGATCCAGGCCTTTTAATAAACGGGAATAACTACACCACTCGCCAGTGATTGCGTTGGTAGCCTCATTTGCATGAAATGCAAATATTCCTAATACAATGAATTAATTTGCGTAGATTGGTACGTGTTATATTAATAACAAGAATTATCTTGTACTACATTTCAATTGAATATTAATCGGCCGCGGAGCTCCGGAGCTACTTCATTGACTGTAATTGAAACTGTACCTAATTGAATTGTGTTTACAATAATGTGTTATAATAATTATGCTCTATAGTTGAAGTATGGATTCATCCATTAATTTAACTACTCGTAACTCTGTTGCACGGTATGACTAATTAAATGAATGGATCTTTTTGAGATATCTCATATTAGGTATTGTTTTTTTATTACAAAAGGCAATCTAACTGAGCCTATAGCCACAGATGTTTTAGGCCGGTTGGCAAACCTCCTCCTACCGGGTTTCGGCCATGTGAAGGACTTGTTCACCCACGGCGAGGCTAAGAGGAACCCACGCTGTGTCAGTATTCCGCGTCAGTATTGCGCTTGGCCGCTCTCCACCGCTGCACCGCTGATGCTGTGGTGGTGGCTTCTCCCTACCCTCCGCAGCCGAGTGGTAAGAGGCAAAGCCACAGACCAGGTCCCCTGCTGGGCGCGCAACCTCACAGAAGACTGGCATAAAGTGGAAGTGTCATATAAAGAGTAGTGCTGCAAATGCCCATGGGTGGCGGTAATCACTTAACATCAGGTGTGCCGCCAACTCGCTTGACACCTTCTCACGTAAAAAAATGTATCCTTCACGTGAGATGAGTGTTCAGTTAAATTCCACAACTATGTTCAATTATGATTTATAAATACTCTCTCCTGTCGAAATAAACTGCGATCGAAATAAACTTGGTTTCAAATAGAGGTAGGCAGAATTAACCATACACCAGAATCACATTCCGTTACAGAAAATGTTTGAAAAGTTATTAACAACAAAAGTAGATGTCGCAGTAATCCGAATAAGATTTCTCAACTAGTCTACTTCGGATCCCGTTACTTAGCTACATGTTACATTAGGAGTCGACTTTTTGTTTGTTCGTAGTTTCGACGTCGCTTTGAGTAAATCTCACATCTGCGATGGCTTTACGTTGTTTGCGCACTATGCACGAGGATACTGGAATCTTTGGCATATTAAAATAATTCCATTTTTTTAGTGGAATTCATATTGCTTTAAACATTAAATGTTACTAAAATATTATCTCAGTATTATTCCAAGTAAGAAACCGTGATAGCTTACTGTCCAGGTGCTCGCTTTTAATCTAAAAATATACTGTGAAAGAAAACATCGTGATGAAACCTGGATATTTTCTAATTAACAATTTAGAAAATATTAATATTGAATTGGGTAATTTCAAAGGTATGGGAATTCCGCCAATCCGCAGTGATGGACTATGCCTTATGCTAAGACCAGAGGGTCTTACGTCCAGAGAGTGTACAGAGGTACAGAAGAGCTTCTTAGCTTTACTTTTTTCAAATTGTGTTATATAACTCGCTTTCCTTTTGAAAATCAATGTAAGGAACGCTAGCGCGACGAGTAATTGGTAACTGGATCCATTCAGGAATAACTTTCAATGATTACAACGATGTAGTAGAAAATACTACATCGTTGGATGGGACACTTTTTGTACTTCACCGTCGAATCTATTATTGGTTATTAATAAAAACTCGAACGCATTAAACTATCCTCGATAAGCGGTCCCATTCGAATTTTCCAAAAAATCAGACGGGTTTAACTATATTACAAAAGGGGTGTATAACCTATGAGTAAGCGGTCACCTATACCTTACTCCCGATGACGCCTGTATACCTGGTTCCATATTATAATAGCAGATAAAAGTGCGTGATCGAAATTTATTTCATTTGAGTTAAATAAAAGTGCCCGCAAATAGTGGTGTATAGTGATTATTTAGTAGATACGTCGACACTACAATCGAGCGGTAAGCCAGTGACGTAATAAAGAGCTTGCTACAAGTATGACACAATAAAATCACAATTACGCCCACACACGTCAGATAATTTATTCGAGTCGTGCTACAGCCAGCGTCAGTTCACTAAAATAATGCTTTCTGTGTTCTGTTTTAACGGCTTTGTGGGAAACGATATGAGTTGTATGAGGTTAAACGCGTAATGCATGTACGGTTGCTGTTCTGTAGTGTAATTTGTAATGAGCGTGACATCGCAGTCATACACCTATTTTGTCATATGTATTTTATTGTAACTTTAAGAAATCTTCTGTAACACTTATAAAATAAGTTATTATCGTTTAACCCTTATGTGATTGACGGTTCTTATTGTTTAACCCTTATGTTAGTGAACATTAGACCGAGCTTTTAGCTATAAGACACAGCGCTCATAAATTTGGGTAGTTTCAGTATTAGCTAAATATATATATATCCGGCTAGGATGTACACTCGTCAGCTAAATAATCGAATCACGCCGTATGATTACGGTAAAAATATTGTCATGAAAAATGTGTTGCTTACATTTATTATTTGATTATAGTAGAATAAAGGTGAGGTTTTAGCTTTAAAACGAGATGAATTTCATTCTAATAATTCTTTAAATCTAAATTATTTGTTATACAGGGAGGTTTTTCTAAGTGTATCCATTTTTTTTATTAAATTCTAGACATAAATAATGTTATATAAAACTGATATATATTTAAAATCACTCGTAATTAATTAAATACATTCATTTGAACTAATCTCTAAAAATGCGGGATTTATGGGCTAATCATTTATTTTACGCGCGATCATTCATCACCTGACCACCACTTTATAAAACGCATACAATTTCGTTTCAAAAGTATACGACGAATTTATGAATGACTACCGCATTGTCAACAAGTTCTGTTTTTTAGGGAATAGAAGGCAATGTTTTTGAAAAAAAGTTTGTTTTTATTATAATAAACGATTATAATACCGAGTCTGAACCTCCTGTGTGAATTTGGGCACCTTTAGAAAAGCTACACTGTATTAAAAAAAAAAAAATAAAAAAAAACATGCGGCAGTCTTTGGGGATTGCCGATAGAAGTGAAAACTAAGTAAGTTAACAATAATTAATAAATTTATTTATAAAGGAAATAATAATTGTTCAAGTATGATTTATAATAATAAATATTATAATAATAAGAAAAAGCGTAAGTCGACCCAGCACATTAAAGAGATTCCGCTTCGTGCTTCCACACGGAACGGACGTTACTCTGAGCCGGAGGGCCCATGCCAACCGACCCGGAAGCCATCTTGCAACCGTTGTTGCTAATTTTATTTCTTTTATCTCTTGGTGTGCACTGTTCGCCTCATCGTTGTCGTGTTTCGCGGTCTACGGTTAGGGAAGTCTCAAGCAAGAAGAAAGAAGAAACATTATAGAAGAACGAAAAAACATTATAGAAGAAAGAAGAAACTTCGCCCGACTTCCGAGCGGATAGTGTTAGTGTAGTGTTGTGCTCGTAGGCAGGTTCCTGTCCGTAAGTAGAATTCTACACACATTTCTCGTCTCAGAGGCGGCATTGTAATTTTTATCTGTGTGCTTGTTGCATTAGGCGACAGCTAGGTACTCACCCTAGCGCACCTAAAGCGCAGGCGATTAAACGTTAATTTTTAGGCACACACCTCCCTGCCGCAAGGTGGGGAGGCCTATCTAGAAACCACACGCCGGCGGGGCGCAAGCCCCAAAGGCACAAGCGTCGTCATGGGTTCCCTCTTAGAGGAGTTCCTTCGGCAGGAATGCCCCGAAGTATGGGCAAAATACTTAAGCTTCGCGAGGGAACGGCGCCTTGTCGTCGAATTCTCTAGCGACAGTCCGGCTTCACCGGCTGCCGCCTCGCCGCCATCTCCGGTGCCCTCTGCGCCAGCTATTGTGTCGCCCTCTGCGACAATCGATACGCCCGTCGCGTCGACTTCCGCCGCCGCGAACGAACCCAACGCGCCTTCCGCGCAAACCATTTCGGCCCCCTTCCGCGCTGTCGTTCCCGACTCACAATCGGACGGCGGCGCAGACATGGAGGTCGAAACGACCCCCGCTAACAACGCGAACGCCGACGGCTTCACCGTCGTCAAATCGCGAAAAAAGGGCAAGAAACGCCCCGCTACAGACAGCGACCCCGAAAGCGAGGCCGCCCCGTCAAACCATCCCACCGCGACGCCCGCCAAAAAGGCAGCCGCGTCTGCCCAGTCGGAACCGACATTCGCCTCCGAGCGAAAAATCAAGCCACCGCCGCCAATAATAATACAAGATAAGGCAAAGTGGCACCAGGTTTGTTCGTGGTTTGAACGCCATAACATCCCGGTCAAAAAATACTAATATGGGTATCCGCGTATACCTCGATTCGTCAGACGATTTCCGCCGCGTAACAAAGTACTTGCGCGAAGCTAAGGTAGGTTTCCACACCTACTCACTACCCGAAGAGCGTAAACTTCGGGTCGTAATTAAGGGCGTCCCAAAAGAGTCGGATGTCGATATGGCTAAGGTCGACATCCGCACTCAGGGATACCCTGTCCACGCCGTGCGACGTCTCAGGCACCCTCGCACCCGTGTCCCTATGGACATGGTCATGGTGGAACTTGACCCTACCCCGGAAGGTAAGGCCATTTTCAACCTTAAGAGGGTCTGTGGGCTCAGTGACTTAGTCATCGAGCCCCCACGTAAATCAGGTGTTGTGGCACAGTGCCACAACTGTCAACATTTTGGCCACACGGCCAATAACTGCTTCGCTCACCCAAGGTGCGTCAAATGCACCGGTGACCACGGCACAACCGAGTGCACGAGGCCGAAAGATTGCGCAGATCCACCGGACTGCGTAAATTGCCACACTACCGGCCATCCGGCTAGTTATAGAGGCTGCGCTAAGGCCCCGAAAACTCCCGCGAGAAAATCTCCCGCGAAGTCTACGTTGCCCAAACCCGCGCCCGTTAAATACATTCCCGCGCCCGTACCCGTCATTAACGCCTGGGCGAAACCCCAGGTGGCCGCGCAGGTAACCGCGCCGGTAATCCCGGTCGCCTCACGACCGATCGCGCAACAGCTGCCCGCCTCTCAAACGGCGCCGCGGCCGCAGGTGCAGCCAATTCCGTCAGTTTTCGCGGAAAACAAGGACGACCCCTTCGCGCAAATAGCTAACATCTGCAGCTTATTAGATAGAATTAATAGGCAGGAACTCGCCGTATTGTCCGCTAAAATAGCGGCCGCCACATCTGGCCACGAGCGTCTTAGGGCAATTAGCCAACACAAAACGCTTGTGGAAGCCCTTTGGGCTTTTACGAGCCAACCGTAAAGAACAATAGTCCGCGCAATAAAACCGCGCTCCGCCGCGTCGTTAATTAGACCCATAAAAACACCTTAATGGGAAGTACAACCGCAGGTAGAACAAAACCTCGGGCTCTGGTTGTTTCGTATTTCAACGCAAACGGCATAAAGGGTCAAAGGGATGAAATCGCGGAATTCCTTCGCGATTATAACGTAGATATTTTCCTAGTGCAAGAGACATTCTTGAAACCTAGCGTACGCGATCCCAGAATCGCTAATTACAATATTGTCCGCCACGACCGGTTAGCAAACCGTCTGGGAGGCACACTAATTTATTATAAACGGTCCTTGCACTGTTGCCCGCTCGACATTCCAGAGCTAAGTCAAATAGAGGCATCCGCGTGTAGGTTAGCG